CCTATGTGAGACTGTCATTGTTCAATTTCTCGCCAATTTTTATTCCCAATTTATTTCAACTTCAAGTGGTCATCTTTTGGCCTTCATTTCTCATTCACCTTAAATTAGTTTTGAGAAAATAAATACATAATATTAATCTACTCATGGAGTAGAACACACTCGGCTAAATAACTATTTTATCCAACTAACGAGACCCACTAAAATAATTGGTCAAAAGTTGGTCAAACCAACTAATCAAATCCAATTTTACGACAATCTCCCACATGAATGGAAATTAATGCAATAGACTATGCAAACCCTATAGAGAGAGATCAGAAGGAATGTTATCACATCCGAATAGGTACTTTATGGGTTTAAACCTTCCATAGTAGAATACTATCGGATTTACTTGGCTAATCAGTGAACGTGATATCTTGAACTGTCAGCCATTGGTGTAAACCAAAACAATAGTATCAACACAATAACCTTCCTAACATTTTCAAGTTCTCATTGTTGTGTTCATTTTGGCCCTGAACAACTTTTGGATTTCATAAGTGTTTTAGAGAATTCAAGCCTTTGAAATATTATCATAGAAGCGGCCACACATCACACTTATATAGGCGATCTCCACTTAGATAGTCTAAGCTATAGGAATCATTAAAAGTATAATTTAACTTAAAACTTTCTCTAGATAGCACTTTCTTATCGTATGAATAGGTAGGAGTTAACTCCAAAATGCTTCTTTGAATCATCATAACTTAGTTGTCCCATTGAACCAAGATCTTAGGATTTTCAGTCAGCAATGTTGGGTTACCATTACAAAGATTCTTGTGTAGTAGGCTTTAAACCCATTCTCCTTGATAGACAATATACTTGATCTCTTGGTAAGTCTTTGGTAAGCGGATCCGCGAGATTTTCTCTAGATTTTACATAATATATAGAAATAACACCATTTGAGATCAACTGTTTAATTGTATTATGTCTTCGACGAATATGTCGAGACTTACCATTGTACATACTATTTTGTGCTCTACCGATAGCCGACTGACTATCGCAATGTATACTAATTGCAAGAACAGGTTTACGCCAACATGGAATATCCTCTAAAAAATTTCGAAGCCATTCTGCTTCCTCTCCAACTTTATCTAAAGTTATGAATACATGCTTGTTTAGAGGATTTCTAAGATACGGTCGCACCACCAATGGTAAAGCCATACCCACTAGTGGATTTTGAGTCTTTTGTATCTGATATCCAATCAGCATCACTGTATCCTTCTAATACAGCTGGATATCTAGTATAATGCAATTCAATATTTGAGGTGTATTGTAGATATCTAATAACCCTTACCAATGTCTTCCAATGGTCATCGTTTGGGTTACTTGTATATCTACTAAGTTTATTTACTGCATATTCGGTCGAGTGCAGTTTGTAATATATATTAGACTACCTATTATTCGAGAGTACTCTAATTGAGATATGGGTTCGCCTTTATGTTTGGCCAAATATAGACTTAAGTCTACCGGTGTTTTAACAGGATTTTCATCGTATATATGAAACTTTTTAAGTTCAGTCTCAACATAGTGAGATTGAGATAAGACAAGTCCCTCAGATGTGGGTATTACATCTGCAATACCCATATCTTTCATGTCAAAATGTTTTGTCAATATTTTCTTGATATTTGTTATGATATCATAATTACTACCTATAATTAGCATATCATCAACATATAAACATACGATTACATATGCTTTAGGTGTGATTTAATATAAATACATTTATCACACTCGTTAATCTTAAAACCATTTGACAACATAGTTTTGTCAAATTTTGCATGCTATTTAAGAAAGTTGTTTTGACGTCCACTCGATGAATTTCCAAGTTATGTAATGATACGATTGCAATTAATACTTTAATTGATGTTATCATTGTCACATGTGAGTATGTATCGAAAAAATCAAGGCCTTCTTTTTGTTTGAATCATTTGGCTACCAATCTGACCTTATATTTATTAACTGATCCATCAGTCTTTAATTTT